ACACCTTAAAACTTTATATACTTTCATAAAATAAAACATTATAATTTTCAATTTGAAACTTTTTCTATATATACATATTAAGAAATTATTCTCATTATATATATATATATATATATATATATATATATATATATATATATATATATATATATATATATATATATATACAAATAAAGGCCTATACTCACAGAAGAAGAAAATAGACTTAAATAGAGAGGACGTCATTTTATCTTTCAGCCAACACTTTAACGAAAAGAGAATGTTGGTGTGTAGATTAAAATAAGGGGTAATAGAAACGGATGTAAATGAAGGATGGTGTCTACCCACCGGGCGTTTCATCCTATACAGTGAGGCAATTCTGGAAGACGTTCTTCAAGGATTCATCATTGGCGTCTACACCTTTTAAACCATATAAAAGATGCAGATACACAGAGTATTGGTAGCTGATGCGGAAAGGAAACTACACAACCTCCTACGGAAGATCGTGAAGGAAAGGATAAAACACAAACAAGAATACAGACTACGTGATTGTCAGCCAAAGATCTCCTCAAAGTGTGAATTTCGAACCGGAGATATCAACTTCAAGCAAACGCGGAAATTTATCTGACAATCATTTAATATTTTTTCTGCTGATACATTATTTTTAATAGATACAGTTTATTTAAGGAAATTTGTGATTTTCTTTTTAAATATAAACTGTATTAATTATATTTACCTGCCTGAATGTTCGAAAAATTTCGTCTCTCTTAAATCTTGCTCTGCCATCGATTTACTGAAGCTCACTAGGTAGATTATGCGTTATTTTCTTCTGTCCCTATCGCTTTCAGTCTGTTATTTGAGTATCAAATTTTCCATGCCATCTTTCCTCATCATGTGCCTTAGATATGTCAACTGTCTCTTCCTGGTGTTAAGTACAATTGTTCTTTTTGTTTCTGTTTCCTCTAAAAATGTGTTGCTCACAAATTCGGTCTATAATATTCTCAGCATTCTCCTGTAGAACGGCATTTCTCTTGCTTCAAGTTTATTTTTCACCTATGAGCAGGTTTTCACAATATTTTGGGATTGAGTTTGTCTATTCTGCCCAATTCTCCCGGGCCTCATAACTGCATATTATTACTGTTTTCGATCGTTACAGAACGGGTTGTTGTGGAAAAGTTCTCCATTGAATACCAGATTCAAGAGCTTGACGCATTAACACACGTGGTATTTTACACAACAGTACTGGAAAGTTTCCTGATAAGTAACAACCATTCCCTGTAAATACTTGTGAATATATGACGTCTGAGCAATGAGTTTCTCTAACGAGAAATAACACAACCTAAAAATTTGGTAATTAATCTGCTTCATTGCTGTCCCCGAAGCTACACCACTTCATCCAACGTCTTTTCCATTGATGCAAGCATTCCTGGAACTTATTTTTAGGGATAGCGAGCTCCTATAATCGCATTCTCTTGGCATCTTCAAATCTTGTTCCTTTCAAGTGGGATTTAATTTTTTGATGAGGAAAACATCGTAGGGGACGGGATCTGGAAAATATCGTGATAATATACCTACGGAAGGTTGATCTTGGCCTGCATAAGCCACGCCTACTGATGAAAATTTTGTGTTGCGGTGAAACGACCACACTCTACACACATTCCTTCCAAATACAGCTAAAGACAACAGAAGCGACCGAGAACGTTATATATTAGTGTGTATGCGCGACTGTATTCAAGGTCAAGTGACTTCATACTGTTACCACAGCAACAGTACAAAGATATTTTGATCAGATCGCGTATAATTGAAGAAAATCTATTTGTACTTTATTTTTTGATGACTAAATTTCTTAAAAATAGAAATTATTTATGACTCATCCCAATAGTTTAAATATCAAAGTACACCCTTGTGCAAATTAATTAAAACAAAACGAATAATTCCGTATTTTCCCAATGAAACCCAGTGCACATGTTAGTAGTTTCTATGTCCATTCCACGAAGTCGTTCCTAGCATATTGGCCACAGATTCTCGATTGGATTTAAATCAGAGTTTCCGGGACAGTCTATATTACTTTGATTTACTCACTGGTAATGCTTAATATTGTTCGTGTCCGAGCAGCGTTACAATTTTCGTACTCTTCCAACGTCTATCGCAGACAATGGCCGTAGGAAAAATAATCGACAGTCGAGACAATAGTGTCTGGGCGTGATATATAATCTGATGCAATCACGGAAGACGCAGAATTTTTCAAGGCCAAACAAATTTCATCATACACAAAGAAAACAGATTCATATTACTGCACGCTACTGCAAGTGACCTAATCCGAGGAAAAAATAGAAATCGATTACACCCTGTCACTCCAGAGGGTCTAAAACTGACTGTATGTGCCAAAGAAAGGAAAATAAAGCTGTTGTTTCAATTTGCACAAGGATGTAAATCGTTAGGTTCACGGTTTATCTTCGCTTGGCCACGAGTCCTGCCTGTGTGCCAACCCGTGGAATATCGAAGTCGCTCGTAAACGTGGGTTAAACACGTCACTCGGAGACAGGTGCCAAAATGAATATGCAACAGCTTAACACCGGTTTAGATGAGATCTGTCTACAGTCTCTCACTTTAGAAAACTGTCGAAATATGCACGTGGGTCAGGAAAATATTTTTATTTGTTTCTTTAGTTTCATCTAGTGTTTTATGAAATATAGATTTTTTTATGTATTATATATGCGGTTTTGGCAAATAATGGATTTGAGGAAATTGGCATGGCCATATAATGGGAAGCTAACAAAATATTGATTTCAACGATTTATATGAAGATTTTGCTGACATGAGTATGCCATAAGTTTGTTATTTGCACACACACACACACACACACACACACACACACACACACACACACACATATATATATATATATATATATATATATATATATATATATATATATATATATATATATATATATATATAAATTTTCAACAACAATTTAGATCCAAAAAGATTATAATTAATGTTTCTTGCCAAAATGTTAACATATGCCATTTTTCTTCAAATATCCCCTTCCATAAGCGAAATTTAAAAAAGAAATACGGTTAACTCGTGTCCTTAAATATTCAAGAAATGAATGAGAACACATAAAATTAAGAAATAAATAATACTTAGATATCTATAGTAAAAGGCGCTAGTAACGACAAAAGCAACATTAACCCACTTTCGATTGGCGGAAACATTATGCAAATTAGCGCCCTTTCACATTAAGATTTTAGAACATTTTCCGGCGTTTCCATATTTAAAATTTAAAAATTTAATTATATTTTCTGCACGATCCATTTGTGTATAGATACAGGTCACCAAAAAAAATTCTTTGCTTGCCTTGATAAAGGTACTTAAGGAACGAATGTCGTTGTCATAATAAGTTTTCGTCAGATATTTACCCATAATACTTATATATATTTTAGGTTTTAAAAATTTTAAATTCAAGAACGCTCTAAAAGCTGTGTAAGTAAAGATAAACTAAAGGGAGATTAAATGATATAATTTAATGCTTAATAAAGAAAAGTGAGTAAATAGTGTTATTGTTTTTGCTGAATTTATGGTTTCTTATTTATATAAATTTAATTACTAATATAATTATTATTTTATTTTATTTTGATAAATGATCTATGTATTTATTTTAAATGATAGAAAATCTTGTGTTAACCGTTTTTTGTA